TGGTTACTGCAACCATAAGTAATTTCTGAGAATTCCTAAAAGAACAGGAACTGCGTAGCAAGATCTGAACTAATGTTGTCAATGATTTAAGGGGACTATTTGAGGGGCGATACTCAGGATTTAGAAACTGCAAGGTGCACCATCATCGAGACGGTCCAGAGAGCTGACCATGAGGAAGATGGGATGGCACAAGGGGCTGCTAGAGATCTAGAGGAATCAGGTACAGCAAAGAACAACTAATAGGGTTTAACTTTAACAGAAAAAAAAGCTGAAGGAAGAACCGAAACTTTGGCAAAAGGTTATCCACCGGATAAGACGCCATTCTGAACTGCCACAAGCCGTATTATTGCTTGTGCAAAATCACATCACGTGTATATCTATGTACATACCTTGTGCATTATACAACTATTTTGCCAAAAAATAACGGTACTTGTCCAGAAATGACAGTGAAATTCAATTTACAGTACCTTTTCCGTCCAAAAACTCTGTTTCGATGCTGAAGGCGGAAATGCGACTTTCTTCATTTATATCTTATCAGTAAATGTTTCGTTTGATGAGTTTTCAATTCAGTTCCATTCCATTTACTTAGTTATCGCAGAAAGGGCATGAAATTTGCCACTCATGTATAAACAGGAAAGAAACAATTACAATAGACTAAGAAGGGTAAAAACTAGTTAAAAAGAAGAATGAAGATACGGTGATATAATAAGTAGTTATTACTGGTGGACGGCAGTTTGTAGCTTAAGTCACGATCTTCTTTCGTACGGTCGATGAAGTACCTAATCATGAATGGGAGAACTGACTTTCGATATGCATCCGTCCGAAACTTGCATGGTAAGAAAGTTGACCTGATGCACGGGATCTTCGACAGACTCCTTCTGAGGCAAGGATATAGAGGACGAACGTGGCCAGCCAGGATCGAATTGCCCTGATCCATATTCGCTTTCACGAGACTTTTCGTCAGAAAGTCCCAAGGTCATAAGCCCTACAGTTTAACACACGTCCCAACAGCTTTAAAAGGTTCCACATGCATCGCAGGTGCTTGTTGGGGAGGCGCGGAAGTACGCAGTGGTTGCGTAGAGGATGATCGGTAAAATGAAGGCACTTGTGAACTCCTGCAGTTCCCTCAGGACAACAAATTGCCTCTTCAGAAAGGACGGAATCACGACTTCCTGTCAAACTTTGAAAATTACTGCATTCACCCGAGGTTCACAAGTAAGGCCCTGGTCCACAAGTCCGAGGTATTTTTAGACAGTGTCCTTGAAAACTGTTGGCCAACTGAAGAGTTGGCAGAGCAAATTTAATCGAATCTATGCTCAAACTTTCAACACCAAAATGCATAATCCACAGATTTAACGGGATGCTGCATGAGGCCATTCTCACACATTCAACCTCTTATTAATTTAAATAAAGACAGGAACCTTTAGAACTCAGAAAGAGACTTCAAGGATAAGGGTGGTATCGCAGGAGTACTTTATACAGCTGGCCACAGTGCTGAAGGGACGAGAGTTAGAAATGTAATGAATGAACAACTCTGGCGATCGGCAGGCCAGGCTAGGCCAAGCTAGATATGATTCCTATGCTACTCCGCACGTCGTTAAGAGTAACGCTGATTTCCTGGTGACGACGTGAACAAACTGGAGGAGGCTTAAATGGTACGAGGCAAGCAGATGGACAATATAAGCAAATATCGGCCAGCATTCGAATCAGTTGATCGTCGCACTCTTCTCAGAAATGGTCGATAACAAGCCATCACATAAGTTATCTCCGCTTCATTTACGAACTTCTTACTTGTTAGTCATTCTCATAATAGATTTTGAAAAATTTCGGCATTACTTCAGAAGCTTCACAGTCTTCTCTGCCAACACCACAATGCCTATCCTCTAGAATCCCCCATTGCAGCTGCTGTAATTGTCACATTTCCAAAGCTAGGGAATGTCTTAACTACGTGACGTCATTTTGCATCGCTTTTCGCCCCCATGTAGCAGGCTGTGCAGACCTTGCTAAATGATATGTTCAGATGGGCTTACGATGAGAACGCCAGGTGGGAAACGTGTTCATGAGAAAAATGCTGCCTGTGAACGCGAACTGGCTTTAGCGCTTGAAGAACAGGTATATAAGGGTCAGTCCGTCGTCGAAGTGGATATTTGGGATGACTTATCATGTAGACTTTCGTTCTTATAACTTGTCTCTGGATCTCAGTAAGGACCTCGGAAGAAACATGTCCGAAGCCAGTCCAATTCTCCAACAGGTAAGAGCAGTATGGACCGCAAGCCGTAGTCACGGCGGAAGGACCAGCCTGTTCACGGCGAATATGCTTCCAGAACCGACGCTGCAGGCGACGTTCTATGGCGACGATCGAGGTTCTTCGTCGACGAAATGGACGGCCGAACTTGAAGTTGCGATGTGTCACTATGGATGACCTAGATCACCAGTGGAACGGAAGCAGATGGTACTCAGATATACAGGTGAGCCGGAACTTAACGTACTTCCAGATTTTCAGTTCTATGGAGATTTAGCAGTGCAACGGGAAGCAAAAACTGCAGAATTGTGTCCTACATGCTGATCACAACGGCAGATAATGGGACATACATAATTGGTCCTGGGGCCCTCAGAGATGACGAATGAAAAACAGATGAGCAAGGAAAGACGTCCAGTTCTGTGCCCGCAAATGACTAACGTTCTCCTTTGATCAAGGCATGCATGCTTTAATTCTGCGCAAGAGGCCATTTTGTTGCACAGTGCCTTCAAAGTCGGGGATTAATTATCATGCGAGAGACAAAAGCTAACAGGGAACGGATCCGGTCTGATGGGGGATGTGAGCACAAACGAAAGAAGACCGAGTTTAGAGACTGTGAAAGGTCAATCTGAAATGATTTGGTCGATAGAATCAGTAGGAATTAGTGGTGACGAACAGGGTCATAGAA